GGTTGTTCCACTGGTTAATTGTTCTAACTGTCAGGAAGTTTCTCTTTAGTTCTAGGTTGCTTCTCTCCTTGATTAGTTTCCATCCGTTGCTTCTTGTCCTGCCTTCAGGCGCTTTGGAGAATAGCTTGACTCCCTCTTCTTTGTGGCAGCCCCTGAGATATTGGAACACTGCTATCATGTCCCCCCTCGTCCTTCTCTTTGTTAAACTAGACATACCCAATTCCAGCAACTGTTCCTTATGTTTTAACCTCCAGTCCCCTAATCATCTTTGTAGCTCTTTATGCTCTTTGTTGCTCTTTATGCTACTTAAAATGGTATGTGTTTGTACTATTTAGAAACAAGTGTCTCCGGTTTGTGTCTAACCTTTAACTGGTGAAATGATAAGTTTCAAGAGGATAAATTCATAACAAGGCCAAACCTCTTATTGTTATCGATGTGTTATAGTCCAGTTCAAATGTGGTCCTTCCTTCAAGCATCAGAATGCCCAATATTATGTCCAAGGGATTGTGCAACTCCTTGTAATTATGAGCTAAGCAGTGTTATCTCGTTCTGAGTTATAATGGAAGTTCCCTCTAGGGCGCCCCCAGAATAACCCCTCCACTAGTCCCTCATTACTGTTTTCTCCACTGGTTAGATACCGGCTGCACTTCGAGCGGGAAAGCAGAGAGGAAGTGGAGCGGAGGAAAAAGATTGCCCGGGAGAAAATCTTGGAACCGGTGCCAGAAACCGAGACAGAAGTGGACATAGAAGATGTTTACAAGACCGGATCAGGTAGGTGAAGATGGTCAAGAAAAAAGCTTCTCGGTGGGTGAGTGAATCTGAAGGGCTTCTCTCGCCTTCCCCCCTGCCATTTTCCCGCTCTTAACAGACTTCCTTCCTGGGCCTCTGAAGGTCTTGCTTCAGGCAGGAGATCTATTTACGCTGAGGAGCTTTTAATTATCTGAAACGCACGAACGAGTCTGAAGATTCAGCACGAACATTCTGCTCCTCCGTCTGTTTCTAAACGCAGCATAAATCTCCTCCTGGGTTTTTCCGACAAATGGCCTGCTGGCGGAAAAAAAAATTGGAGTTCCAGTCCTAAGATAGCTGAAGGACATCAAGTTGGGGAGGGTTGGTTTGGATACAAGACACTGTTTTTGCCCAATTGTGCTGATTCAGCTGAATCTCAGAATCAGAATAGAGCTGGAAGGAACCTTAGAGGTCTTCTAGTCCAGCCCCCTCTCAAGCAGGAGACCCTATACTATTTCAGACAAGTGGCTGTCCAGTCTCTTCTTAAAAACCTACAGTGATGGAGCACCCACAACTTCTGAAGGCAAGCTGTTCCACTGATGAATTGTCCTCACTGTTAGGAAGTTTCTCTTTAATTCCAGGTTGCCTCTCTCCTTGATTAGTTTCCACCCGTTGCTTCTTGTCTTGCCTTGCCTTCTGGTGCTTTGGAAAATAAATTGACCCCCCTCCTCTTTGTGGCAACCTCTCAAATACTGGAATACTGCTATCATGTCCCCCCTAGTCCTTCTTTTCCCTAGACTGGCCAAACTCAAATCCTGCAACCATTCTTCATATGTTTTAGTCTCCAGCCCTTTAATCACCTTAATTGCTCTTCTCTGCACTTTTTCCAGAGCCTCAACATCTTTTTTGTAATGTGTTGACCAAAACTGGATGCCGTTTTCCAGGTGTGGATTTACTAAGGCTTTATAAATTGGTACTAATACTTCACGTGATTTTGATTCTGTGCCTCTGTTAATGCAGCCTAGCACTGTTTATACAATCAAAGATTGTATTAGCTTTTTTGGCTGCTGCTGCACACTGCTGGCTTGTTAAAGTCTTTATAATTTCACATTCTTCGTACAGGTAGTCCTTGACTTACAACCGCAACTGAGCCCCAAATTTTTGATGAGAAAAGTGAGAAAGTTGTTAAGTGAGTTTTGCCCCATTTTACAACCTTTCTTGCCAGAGCTGTTAAGCGAATCACTGCAATAGTTAAGTTGTAAAGTGAATCTGGCTTCCCCATTGACTTTGCTTGTCAGAAGGTTGCAAAAGTTGATCATATGATCCTGGGACACTGCAACCGTCATAAATAGCCAGTTGCCAAGCGTCCGAATTTTGATCAAGTGACCATGAGGATGCTGCAACGATCATAAGTGTGGAAAACGGTCATAAATCACTTTTTTCAGTGCCATTGTAACTTCAAACAGTCACTACACTAGGGGTAGGCAACCTTGGCTCTTTTATGACTCGTGGACTTCAACTCC